AGAGAGAGAGAGAGAGAGAGAGAGAGAGAGAGAGAGAGAGAGAGAGAAAGAGACAGGTTTCCCCCTCTACATTTTTTCTATTCATTACGTCCCACTCAAATGCAAACTTTTTTTTCTACATAAAAGGAATTTTTGATAGGTCACAAAGAGGACATTGCTTTTCATTTGTTCATCATCACACGGAAACAACCAGATCATGACACATTTGGTGGAGAGGCTGGCATGTATTAATTTCAGGCTCACTTTTTTGTGTAAAGGAGAAGGGTTAGCAATGATGGATGTGCTTCTCAAGAGCACCATGCCAGAGATTCTAGGCCCTGAACATATGACATCCTTTTTCTTGCCCTTTTCATGGCTTTCAAAAAAAGTACTGTGCCAAACTTAAATAACATTGGAAAAAACCTTATTTGGTCACATAGCCTATTAAAACAAACTGAGGTGTCATGTTGTGGCTTTGTGAAGAAGCAGCAGAACACAAAGCAACACACCTGGTGAAAAAAAAAATCCCACTCCACTTATCTGTCATGGTTGGTTGAATCGGCACACACATCATAGCTCAGAATAATGCAGGCGTCAACAAAAGCTGGCCACTTTACAGCTCAGCTACACACCACTCTAATCTTCACACGCTCAAGTGACGTTTTCCTCCATCACTGGAAGCGTATGTACGAACTAAATAGCTGAAAAGCACACTCAGCCGGCCACATAAATCCGGTTCTCTGATTTCTGCAGCCTGTTGATTTTTTCAAACTTTTCTGCTATGGCGCATGCCGTGTGGAGAGCTGGATTAAACAGCACAGACACGAATTCCGCCTCGCCACTTCGGGCATAACAATCTCTCCTCTCCTGCCCAACGAATCTGGGATGATCTCTTCGGGTCCCCAAAAAGCGCAGTAAGACACTACAAATAGTGACATGATGGTTATTTGTCCAGGCCAGGACTTCAAACATCAGGACAGGCCCCGGTCAGCCATCCAGCAAACCCCACAGAGGCTCTCAAGACGCGCAAAAATGCACCAGTCCTTATTGATTCCGGCAGCTCCCGAGCTGCTGATCGGGCCTAAAGCACGGAGCCATGTCCTCTGATACAGGCCCTGCTCGCTGCTCTGCCGTGAGAAAACACAATGCGGGCATTTTGATGGATAGAACAGCATGTCCTCTCTCCAATGGCTATCCACGCACCACACACACACGCCAGTAAACACACGCATACGCACAGGCTCCCAGGCACAGGCGGACCTTGTGCACATATCAAAACCGAATTATCTTTGGCCATGTGAAGACCGGACAATACTGCTTTCGGGTCTGCAAGAGGCCCTATAATCGTAAACCGTGGGAGCAGGGTGGTGACATGTTTGGAGGGAGGCAAGCTCCAGCAGCCAATGTAACTCCATCCAGCGACAACGGGCACGAGAGCGGAGCGCATGCCATTCTTCCCCGTTAGTATGCAAAATGATGGGCAAAAACGGCCTACTTCGGCGTGTAAAATCAAGTTGCTGTTGCTTGAGCGCCCTCAGAGTCCAAGTCGATCCGTAAGAAACCGTCTACTGACCCTGTCCCCGGTCCTTCCCACCCTCTCTGCTGGCAAAGGGCTGGGGAAATCCGGATTCGTGACACTGGTGGAGCCTTTCTGCGCCGTAGCCGCCCTCGGTGACGATAATCCAGGGTTGCAAAGGCGCACAAGGGCGTCACAATGATTATACACGGCGAGGAGGGAAAAAGCCCCAAAAATCTGAAAAACTCACCTCTGAATGCGCTGTATTTGTGATTTAAAGGGCCAGATCCGCTGCTTTCTGAGCCTCTCGCTCCCTCGCTCCGTCTTGGCCGAGCCAAACGCCTCCCCCTTCTCCCTGTGTCTGTCCACTCCTCTGCCCCCCCCTCCCTTTCTCTCTCTCTACCAGCGACAAGCAGCTTTAATCCAGGTGTCACTAAAACATAATCAAACATGCACACCAATCCAGAAGCAACTGTAATCCCTCTCTGACAAGAGGCTGTGGTTGATACTCTCTAGGTTACAGTAGCGGACACATAAAGAGGCGTCTGATGAGATGTGGGCCCCTGGCGTCCTAAAGTCTCTCTGGCCCTTGAGTAAGCGAATGCTCCAATAGAAATAACGTCGTCACATTTTCTTAGTAGCTAAACCTTGATTTGGGGACTTTGTTGTCTTGTGTTTTTTCTCTCTGCATTTTGAATAGTACAGTAGATATATTGCATATTAAATTATTTTGGTTATGCTCAAATATAAAATAATATATGCATGCATCCACGCACCCTTACCCACACAATCGTGTGCATACATATGTTTATGATTAGAGTACTGTTATACATCGACGTGAGAGCCAAAACATGATGGTCTGCATGCACTTGTGGATTTTTAGTACAGTAAAATCAAGCATGAGTGAAGTATGATGATCTGCCACGTGATGGCGCCATAAACTCGAATGTGATTTCAGCGTCTAAAGTGAGGTGTCTGCCTCTCTCCTACAGTTTCCATCGAGCTTTGGTCCATTCCTTCACGCGGAGCAGAAAGCGGTGCATCTGCTGCATGATTATTGGCGAGTGGCGCTCTGCCAGACCAGATCGTAAAGGTCTGAGACGTATAGGATCCTATTTCAAACAAAATGCCGGTTTACTGTCAATTACTCGTAATGTAGTCACACCCTGCACCAAAAAAAAAAAAAAGGCAGTTGGGTTGCGCATACGTATTGTGTGCACGTCTTCATCGTGGCAACGCGGAGGCATCTTCCGATTCCTTATCATATCCACAAAAGAGCTATTTATAACTCACACTGTACTGCATTGTCCTCGTTTCCACTGATGTATGAAACACTGCCTATACGTTTCCTATTGCTTTTCATCACCTCCCCTATGTTCTTCCTACTCCATCCTCCATTTATTTCCCAGTCATTCTGTTCCCCCCCCCACCTTAGGACTATCTCTTTTGTGAGAGTGGTGGTGAACCGGGGAAGAGTCTGTCATTTACTGCAGAAATAAGCAGTGGAAGCCCATGAGTCACCCCTCAAAGATCCCCGAAGGCGGACAGAACCCCCCCCCCCCCCATCCCTCCCTTTATTATTTGGTCTTGTATTTGCAGGCCCATTATTGACCTCATGGGCCAACAGTTTAGTAGCACACATGTGTCTTCCTTGCAGCCTGTGCGTGGACAAGACGATTATCTAATTAAGGTCTCTCAGAGGGCTTTCTACTCTGGCCCGAGGAGCGACAGTTTTCGTTCTCCTCCGTTGCTGTACACTCCAGCAGCAGGCTGGGAGACCTCCGCTTGTCGTAACTCATCTCCGTCTCCAACAGAGTCACACCACGCTGATGCGACATCCGTCGTCAACGTCACACCATCTCCATAGTAACCGTGCTGAGCGCAGCATCCCCGAGCAGCTGTTGGTTTAAGAAAGAAGTGAGAGTGAAGGGAGGCGTGAGAGACTGAAGCTACATTCTCCGTGTGATTTCCTTACAATGTGTGAACTAGGCCACTGTATACAGTCTGCAGCTGGATAAAGCTACATGTACAGTGGTATGACAGAATGTTTTTTTTTTTATATATATATTGGAAATGCATAAAAATAGAAGCAGCATTCTTGTTTCATTAGTCCAATTCTCAAAAATATAGCTACAGTATTTGAATCTATTCTGTGCGCAACAGTAAGAAATTATGAGCATACAAGGTTTGGGTGGATTGTTATAGAAAAAAAATACTCCATTAACATGTGGTTTAAATTAGCTCTAAGTCATGCTTATCACACATGTTATATAATTAGATCTCCTCTCCACATTAATTGCAATTGAAATATAGCAGCAATATTGCTGAGAGCTGCTCAGACATCTTGCCAAAAAACCTACAAATAACTCTGAGAGTTATACTGGAGAAGTCAGGGGAACACCAAGTCCTCAAGGAGCCAAGAAATTATTCATTAAAGATCTGTAGTCATATTTAATGAATCAATGCAGCAGTAGTTACGAATTGCATTATTATGCTGCTTCACCAAATCGTAGTGTATCAAAACTAAGTAAAAATACAATAAACACTTATCAGTTCACATTTTTATTAGGAAAATCATTTTGCAGTTTTGATTATGTATGTATGGCTATACATATATGAATATATATATATATATATATATATATATATATATATATATATATATGATAGTTTCCATTATTCAGAGGATGCATCAGCACAGTATATCTTAATAGGAAGACTATTGCTAGAATAAATATCTATACATTAGAATTACTCAAACAGAAAAAGTCCTAACAGAGAAAAAAATAACAAACCAATAGATTCCTTTATTAAAAAAAAACAATAGTGCTGAAGAGAAATAAACCATTTGCAGAACCAAAGCAGTAAATACGGCCAAAAAGGTGCTTCCAAAAATACAAAGATGATTCACAGTTTGTGTCCTTGTTCTCATGCTGGCTGTAACACCAATAGGGACCATGCAGGAATGAAGGGCCTATGGCAGCAGGATGGTATAAACTATATTACCAACAAAGGCGAAATGCCATCACTTTACTCCTCCTGTCTGGTGAAAAACTGCCTTTGAGGATATGAGGTGATCACTGTGAGGGGAGAGCCAGAGGGCAGCAGGGTCAGGGGAGGATTTTTTTTTAAATCTGGCACTTTCCTCAAATACTTTAACAAGTAGCGTGACAGAATAAAAAGGAAAGACCTGCTCCTCGCTTGGTGAAATCAGCGAGGTATACCGTGAAAATGATACCCTTTTATGCCTGGCTGCTCTATAGACTGCTCTTTCTTTTGTTTTTACATGCTTTTAAGTTTTCCATCATGCTCGAAAAACACACATAACCTGCTTCCCCTCTGTATCGAGTGTTGGCTGACAATTACAAATCTGCAACTGGTCCTCCATGATAAACTGTGCTGCCTTTGAGAATGTCTATGGAGGCCCAAACTGTGAGTAAATCTAATATTATTGAATCAACATAAAAATGACAATAACACATACGAAATGAAATTGAAACATATAATTATAAGACAGTGAAAAATATCTAAAACTCAACTCAGTTTATTTAAGCGATTCTTTATTGATGAGGAAATAATGAGGTAAAATGTGGTATTTTGATAAATCTCACATATGATAAACTCTGTTGGCACAACGAAGCAGAATGGAATTTCAAAATGATTTTCTTAAAGTTAAACAAACTCTTCTTCAGAATTGAAATAGATTATTTCCCAGATTTTGTCTGCCTGAGGCAAAATAACTATTTATGTTTAAAAAAAAGTTGTATACTCATCCAATATTGAACATTTTAGGTTTTCAAGTAAAGCATTGAATTTTGACTTGATTTTACTTTTGCCACCATCTTATTGGCAGAAATCCGCAAGCGGCTCTGTTTTCCCACCACAGAATCCTTCATTCTGCTCACGCTCCTCTCACATCTTTAAAATATTAAATCCTTTGAACAGTATTTACAGTTATCTACAATCAGATGTGAGCAGGGTCCCTTTTCTGTCTATCTGCAAACAATCACACTCCAAAATCAGTCGGATAAAAGGAACTCAAGACTTCAGGGGTTATACAGACAGCAGGGTTTTTATGGAAAGCTAATGGTGACAAAGGTGACTGTACAACAAAACAGTGCGGAAAAGCAACTGGTGAGAGAATAAGGTCTCCCTGACAGGACTCTCTTATTAATAAATACATGTAAGCATGCACTGGTGAGGGCATTCTGTCTCTGTTATATACCCTCCTAAATGTTTTACAGTCCCGATTAGAATGATAATCTGTAAGCATAGACCTTACAATCTAATTGAGAAACTAATGTAAATAAACGTTTTTTTGTATCATCAGAATGCTTTGTTTTTATATTCAAAGCTACCTAACAGCAACAGCAAAAACAGGAAATGCTTTCACAAAGTTGAATAATTAATATAAACATGGAAATATAACCACAAAGATCTAAGCCATATTCACTTAAATATGGTTGTAGTTTTTGGCACCAATGATACCCTTCAATGGTAGTTCAACCTTCTTCAAGCCTATTTATTGATAGTTTACCCTCTTGTGTTGCCATGAGCTCAATAAGTGCCTAATTTGCATTAGCAGATTTCAGCTTACTCTGATGGTCTTTAATCAGACTTTTTGAATAATCAGGGTTCATGGCTTACCATGAAACAATCCACCATTTTTCCCCTTAAGTGGGTTCACTTTAGTTTGAGTCATTGGTTGTGTTCAGTGCTGCAGTCTACTTTTGATCACAATTGGAAATATGTTCTCCTTTGGACACATGAAGCTCCTCCTGGACCATATGTGGCAAATTCATCCCACAGAATAATGAGACTTCCAAGATGGTTTTTACTTTTCGATTTAATTTACTTTATCTTGGAGGGTACCGGTGCTTTTTTGTGAGAACTTTCTTGGAGAGCAGGAAGAATCGAAAATCATCCTGCGGGCACAAATAATTTTGCCGTGAAGTGCATTTTAAATGTGTGTTTTAGCCTTGTTTATGTGTACACTTTTTGTTTTATCAAGTCATTTGGAATATGTCCGTGATACCTGCTTACGTTTTCAAGGTGCCTAAGATTCAGACCAGGACCGTACACATCGCACATGACTGTCAGTGTGTTTGGACGGGCGGTGTGTTGCGTAGGATGACTCATGCAGAGCACGTCGGCAATCTCACCAAGAAAGACTCAAATTTCTGGCACGCACTTCATCAGATGCTAAAGGACCAGCGCACAAGCATGTTACCACACACCATGCGTTTGAAAGAATGCAGAAAGGGGAATGAATGCACACACGCATAGATGTTCCAACAGACACATGCACGCGTATACAGCAGTGAATATGTTTCACTGGCAAATGCAATAAGACAAGTCATAGGAGGGTGGGGGCAGAGGTGTCCGACCTGATTTATGCCAACATTTAACTCATACAGTCTATAAACTCAACAAACGCTCAGACTAGCCATATGTGGGCCGTCCTTTCTCAAAAGGCTCAACAAAGTCTTGTAGGCCACAGCTGGTGCAGGTGAGCTTCATATTTTCACACTACATCTATTAATAGCCCTGCTCCCTCCCTCACTCCGTCGTCCATACCGCTCTCGCACGCTGCCTCATTGTTTTTCCTATCTGCTGTATCATATTCCACCCAGGGACATGAACAAAGACACTCTCCTGTTAACGTCAGCAGAACAACAGATTGCACAAACATGCGCACGCAATCTGGGAGTTGCGTGAAGCAGCCAGACGCGTCAAGCTGATATTTATGCAGTGTGCACCATTGCCAGCGGAACATCAAATTAGATTGTTAAATTGTTTTTTGTTTTCTTTTTTGATCTTGTTGTTTTTTCTTTTTTTTAAGATTGAATGCGTCACATGGCCACATCACATGCTATAGGTTGTATCCTTGTGTCCGGTATCATAATAGATAAAAACAAACCAAAGCAAACAGTGTGAAACACAACTCAAATCATATCTTTTTCCACTAAAAAAGAGCATCACAGAGTGTGAGAGAGAGCGTCCCTGGTATCTAACAGGTAAAGGGTATGTCTTTCTACGTAAATTTTGGAGTTTAACAGGACCTCACGTGAGTGCAAAACACAACACAGCAATAACAACAGATTAATTCAGAAACATAAAAAGTAACAGCCATGGAGTGGAACTTTTAGTTACATATTCACATTCTGCCAGTATCGTATTGTTGACAGATCATGAAAGTGGATGAGTCAGATACGACATATCATGAGCATCTGAATTGAGCTGTTTTACAGTACATGGTGACGCTGGACCTTCAGCTGTAACAACATCTCCTGGTTACAAAGGGCTTCTTCCTACTAAGACAGTGGGTACAGTAATTCTTTACATTGGCAACATCTTAATTGAAGTTCTCAAAAGTCATTTAATTGAGATACCAGCTGCTTACTTTTAGTAACTACACATCTGGAAGAGTTTAATGAGGCTCTGAATGATGCAGCTGGGAGAATTTACATAATGCTAATAAATGAGGCATTGATGAATTGGTAAGTCTTCAAGTAAAATGTCACCCTAAATAGCTCAGTTGTGGATACTTCTGCACACATAAAGACAGATAGTGGGACAGATGACAACAGCTGCTGCGCTTTTCCCTTTTTTATTCAGAGAGATAAACACAGAGTTGAAAGGGGCTGTCATCTGTGTCTTTGGGTTTAACAGTAGAGAAGCAGATTACCTTCTACATAAAATTGTTGTCTAAACTGCCTAAGAAATGGAGCAAAGTGGAGAAATAATCTGAACCCCCCCCTCCCTCCGGCATCCTATGACCTAAGATCCCAATGGGATTACGTCAAATTTGGCAAACACAGCCAACCGGTCACGTAACAATACCCTGTTGTTCAGCGAACCACAACCGCTTTGTGTCACGTAAAACATCAAGACAGAACAGCGACCCATGATTAGGACACAATGATTTCCCCATCCTTAGGACATGTGAATAGATGGAGAATGCATCAAAAACTAAACATATACAAAAACAGAAGAAAAAAAAAGATCATGCTGACAGATATGTAGGTAAAAAGTATTGTGCTTTTGGCTGTCCTGTGTATAATATCCAAAGCCCCTGTGTGGAAAAATGTGTACAGATGCACTTTGGACAAACTGAGCTCTTCAGAGGCTCCAGAATGATGTCTTATGCATAATATAGACAAAACATACCAAAACTAAAGTTAGTCTAGTTCACTAAAGTAAACTAAACTAAAGTGTGTGTGTGTGATTATAATATAAAGTGCAATGTGAGGGCATTTAGGCTGAGAGAGCCTTGTTTGTCTTTATGTAGTCAGTCAACAATGGTGAGCAGAGCTCCCTGTATCGCGTCCTTTTTCTTGACACTTACATGAATTCAATGGTGTGCATGCTCTGTGTTTAGCAATGAATGTGTATCATCCTGTGTCCTGATCACTGATGCCCGGATGAGTGTGCAAGAGGTAAAGCAACCAAATCAACCAAAGAGAAAAAAACAAATAGCAGTTTACTGGACAATCTGCATGAAGCAAATTTGCTTTCAGCAGCGCCATTTTTTTCTCCTTCCCCTGTGCTTTTTGTTTAAGGAGCTTTTTTTTGTTGTTTCTTTACATTACTTTCAAAAGCAATAAAAAGCAAACAAAGGAGAAAAAAAAGCGTAAAAAGGAGAAACCTTCCAAAGTGCCAAAGCAAGTTGAAATTCTCAACATCAAAACCAATAATGTTCCCTGTTCCTTTTGTCTTACCAGCTTGGCAATGATTATCCAAGTGTAACATCGTCGTCGACAAGGCAGGCTTGTATTTCTGTACCGATGAGAGTCTACCCTCCTTCAATTCAGAGTTATTTTACACTTGATGAGAGTCTTAAAAGGATTGTTGCATTTTATCAGTGTGCATACCCTGCAGCTGGATGCCTCCACACGCCAGATGAGGACATTTAGAGGGTTTGAATGGTGTGTTTTCACATATCAGTGAGATTAATGTAAATAGGGGCCGTTTAATTTGGAGAGATGATGAGGTTGAGGTGATGGTTGAGTTTGTCCTCCAGCCACAGTTTTAAGCTTTGATCCTTCAGAATTCAGTCTACTTCTGTAACTTATATAGTAGTTGCTTTAGAGCATGTAGGCTAGATGGCATAAATTTGAATTCTCCATGTCTATATACATCAGAGTCCTCTGTTGTGGCTCTGGGACGTGGCTGGATCAGATGTTATGCCGAGTGGTATTCATGCGAGCAGTCTCAAACATTTGAGTCTCATATCTATGAGCATGATGGACACATCAGTCAGTAAAAATGATTTTTTTTTTTTTACCAGAGTTGGCTTAACTAAGTTAGTTAACTTTGTTACATCTACATTTCTCTTACGTTTCTCTATAGTTATAATAGTGGGTATGCAGAGAGGTGTTGGGATGTTGAAGGGGAGTTCAGGAGTGAGCACAGCAGGGAGGGAGGGCCGGCGTGGCTTTGAGAGAAGGTGTCAAATGTTTTTGAGCTGATCCGAGACTTTCAGTCTCAGTCTGTGGCCTGTCGCCTAAGCACAGGTTTTGTACAACTTGGACGATGCACACGTCCACACCCTCGCCATTCCCATATTCATTTGAATTCTTGATACAAATGAATATTGCGCCACTCTCTCACCACCATCCCACTCAGACGAGTCCTCTTTTGGCCAAACGCATATGGCCGTATGCTCCAACCTGTGTGTACACTGTTTGTGAATGAGCCACCCAAACGGAGGATGATGGGGATGATGAGATTTCCAAACGTTTTTGCTCTGAGTGATACGATTAGCGAGTCTCTCCTCAGTCTTGTCTCTCTCGTTTCTTTTTCCTGATCTGTTTTTCTTCCCCTTTCTCTTCCCTCCCCTCTACTCCTCTCTTGGGATTACATCACACTGCATTTGCCCTTCAGTCTCTCTGCACGGGACTGCTTCCCAGAGCGCTTGCCATCAATGTTGAGGCTCATGTTCCTCTTCTTGTCCAGGTTGAGGAGCTCCTGGAAGAGCTCAGTGACATTGTGGTTGGTCTTGGCTGACGTCTCCATGAAAGCGCACTTCCACTGGCTGGCCTGTGCCTCCCCGTCCTTGGTCTCCACCTCGCGCTGGGTCTCATCGCTTTTGTTTCCAACAAGCATGATGGGGATGGCCTCAACATTGCCTTTTATGGCCAAGACCTGCAGAAGAAAAGAAAAAAGGTAGAGGTTGCTATTTTTGGCCAAAAGTGTTCCATGCAGATTTACATGAAAACTGTTCAATTTTTGTTAATCTTTAATGCAGTCATAACTGCTGTATATGTTAACATAAATGTATTTCTTGTTCTGTTTGTTTGAAATATGTGAAATTAAAAGTTTCGCAAAATCATTTCAAATTTCCAGTTTTCAGAATAAAGAAATAAAAACAAAGACTAAGGTTTGAAAAGGGATAGATAAATTCTCAGAGCTTTTTTGTCCAAATAGATCAAATATAAATAAACTCTGTTACGTTGTATGTGATACATATAAATAAACTAGTCATTATCAAGAAATGTATTGGATGATATTCTGTGTATTGATTGTTTTGTATTAATTCATGCTCTCAAGTTTGAAATAATTTACTGATTAATCAATGAAAGTAGCTTACAGTGTTCTAAAATGTTAACTTCGGCTCTGAAAAGATTAAATCTCCTTTGTTTGAGCAAAAAACACATAGAAATTCACTCTTTTACACACGTTCCCCACATCAGTTCGATACACACTAACACCTTCTTACACTCTGTACCTGTTGGTAAATGGGTTTGAGCTCCTCCAGGGACTGTTTGCTAGTGATGGAGTAGACCAGGATGAAGGCGTGGCCCTTGGAGATAGACAGACGCTGCATGGCCGGGAACTGGTGGCTGCCTGTTGTGTCTGTGATCTGGAGCGTGCACACGCTCTTGTCACAGCTGATAACCTGGCGGTAGGTGTCCTCCACTGTGGGAATGTAGGTGTCCCGGAACGTGCCCTTCACGAAACGCAGAACCAGGGAGCTCTTCCCCACCCCTCCTGCCCCGAACACCACCACACGGTAGTCGTTGCTCTGCTCCGGCATTCTGCCCTCTCAGGCTTCAGATAGTGTTACACCTGGAATATTGAAGGTCAGAAGATAGGGAAGATAGGGAAACAGTATGAGGAAAAGTGATATAAGTAGGTCTTTTTAGCAAAGCTAACTAACCAAAAAAAGCTGTTATAGACTAAAGTGAAAAAAACAAAAAGGTTTAGGTTCATGTTCTTTTGGCATCAACATACTGCGACTGGGAGTCAGAGAAAAAATCAGAGAGCATGATTTCCGTGGTCCTCTCGACTGTGTAACTTTACACAGATATTTCATTAATCAATAACTTTAGCAGATTCACAGTTTCTCCATGGCAACCCTAAAACACCCCTGCATTTCAACATTTATCGATGATGTAAACTGCAGCGAACCCCAACAGGGACAAACTTAATGTTTACAGCTCAGAGGAATAATCTCTGGGCCTGCATACACAGTGCTATGGACAGCAGTGTGTGATACATCCACACTTTGTGGACATATTCAAGCAACACTGGAAAAGGCTGCAAAGCTCAGTTGGAACCTGGGTAAATTTGAGAACTTCAGACATTTTCAGCATCTGTGACAGATTCATACATTGTTTGTCAGTATGATACAATTCTAAAAGGTACATTCTTTGGACCCAAGAAACTGTAGGCCTTTTTCATATTCTTACATTTTATTATGATACTGAAAAATTTTGTGAAGTAGCCGTAACTGCTGTCATTTCAGACTTTGTTTGAGTACAGCATGTTGTTGTTCAACTGCTGTTATATCATTTATCTGCAGCGGTGGTAAACGCTCTTTAAGGTCCTACAATGAGAAACTCCTGCTCTTGAACTTTCAGCTGAAATGAAACAATAAATTGCCATCAAAGCGATATGCAGTGAGCGAATTTCTGTTATCTGTGCGCCGTAGGAACCTCTTCTACTCCTGACAGCAGGCTACCTGTAATTCCATAGCCTGACTGCCGATAAAATCAGTCAAGGAGTTCAAAATAAATGGAAAGCCGAGGAGAGCCTCATGAGTTTCAGATTGACCCAGGTGAGAAATTTAACAGTTTATGTTTTATAAAGGCGGTGAACACAAAACTATAGTTTAACTTTCAGAAGAAGCTGCAGGCATCTGCTCACATCTCTTTGGAATATAAAATGTTTCATTCTGGTCTGAAAATCGGCTTTGTTGGATCTTTCTTGGCGTGCATTAATGACTGTCTCAAAACTTTTTGAACCCCAGTAAAACTGTTGGCAGAAATCTGTCTTCAACATCACACCTAACCCTACTTGATGTGCTCATTCTCAATTGCTTTCATATGAGTTTTCTTTTTTTTAAAGACATCGAAAATTACCCTTTTGTTGGCTTTTTTTTCTCCAAAAGGTTTACACAAGAGTCTCATATGCATGCTGAAAAGCAGTGCATAAAAAACAGAACTGAGGACACGGTAATTCAACAGATGATTATTATTACAATGTCGAATCCAAAATAAAATGTTCACAATCATCAGGATTTGAAAAGGCAAACCCATGCAGATGAAGACCTGGAGCGTGACACTTGGGCGTGATCCTAATGCGGATATCCCATCACACATTTCTTTCCAGGTGTCTATGTTGCATTTATTATTCTGTTTGTCTTTGACCTGCTCCCTGTGCTCCCTCTTGCTGCCCCCCCCCGCCCTTCTGTCTTCTGTGCCTCCACTCCCCAGGTCTTCATGCTGTTTGATCAATAAACTAAAGCCGCTGCGGTTTTAATCGATGGAGCTCGTTTCTCTGGGTCCTGACAGCCTGTCATCCTGCCTCCCTTGGTGCCTGTTTTTTTTTTAGTATGTTGATTCAAGCTCCTGCTCATCACAAACTTCTTCCCCTCTCTTCTCCTCCTTCCTTAACCTGAGCTAAAATTAGGTGTCTACCTCTGTCTGTTTGAAGCTTTAATTTCACATACAGGTGCAGGCTCAAAGTCGTGCAAACACACGTACACACACACACTGTACTTCCACAACTGTACCATTTGTCCTTGACACCAGGCCTTAGAGATTAATGACTGTATTCCCCAATGCAAGTTGTCTCTCCACTCCCCTTCCTCCTGCTCTTCTCCTATTTCATTTTAAATGAGAGGACTGCAGTTCTTTAATGAATTAATGGTACACTATAAATGCATCTGTGGCTGTACGGCCGGACTCCATTAGCAGATAACATTGGCACAGACCGAAAAGGCGTCTTCTCCTCTTAGTCAGTAAATAGATGCAGCGCAGATTTCTCCATTCGTTTATTTTACGCGGCAAGCAAAGATATGTCACCTTTGGCAAAAATATGCACATAATTTTCCTCAAGAGAGCCACTTACGTTGTGGCATAAAGGAAGCACATTAACCAACATCAAACACAATGCCATTCAACGGATCAAGAGCCTGATTAAATAGACACCCACAAAGCGGTCCCATGGTGTCTTGTTGAGAAAGGGTTTTAATAAGGCCACTCATGCAGGAATGCTGCGGATACACGGTGGTGAGTGTTTGACAGGATCAACAGATTATCAGCTCCGGTTTTTTCTGAACTGCTCTGTCCTCATCTGGATCCGTGTGTTCCGACACACGTCACGATATCTGAAACCATCACAAGGTTTCTTTTTCTGCGAGGCTGCCAGTAGATGTAAGATTGTGTGTCTGTGTCAGAGCAGCCGAGCAGAAGATTCACTGTTACCTGCACACAAGACCGACTCGGGTCTTTCAGTGTGTGTGTGTGTGTGAGTGTGTACTATACCACGGGAATTAATCAGCGTTTTTAGTGAGGCAATTTTAAGACTCAAGCATTTTCATTAGGTTTGAGCAGACTGTGGAGTTTCAGCTCATAAATTTTGATTCAGTCTCACTGCTGCTTCACTGCTCTCACACCGGAGAGAACGCTCACACTGCGCCTATCTAAGAATCTTGGTTCCTTTTAATTTGTTACTCACGAATGCAAAAGATGTTTCTCCGTGGTTTACCTGACTTTTTTTTTTTTCTTCATCTGCAGTGTTTGCGGGGGTGGGGATGGATGAGGGGGCGGGGAGGGGGGCGGGGGTGGTAAATTGAATGATGATGCAATTCTGAAGTTAAAGGAATGTTTTTATGTTGATAGTAAATACTCTGATTAGCTGTCAGAGGTCAGATCAGGACATTAATACCTTGTCTTTATGTTTGCCCAGCTCTTTTCACAGGGAAACAGAATTTGCAGACAAGCACAGTTGGTCCCAAATGCTGTGCTCAGCCATCACATATGAGTGCTGTACATGCACGAATGAATGAATTTGTGCTTTGTTTTTTTTCCTGCCGTGGTTTGTTTTTTTACCCATTTACAGAGGCATGCCGGCAGTTTTCACCCGTCTTTGTCTTTCTGTATTTAAACAGGTTGTTCAATAGTCAGCAATGAGAAGGGCATCAACCTGCTTAGAATCTAGCATATTTTTTAGTGCGATCAAATAATAGGGTTAGGTTTTCTTTACATGATTCATTCCACTTTTTTATATGGATAAACTATAGCAGCCACAAAGTAGTTTAAAGTAGGGCTTCTAAATTAAAGATTTAATCATTGGAAGTATAAAAAGATATACCCTCCCTTTTATAGCTCTACTCCCAAAAATTGGGACACTGTGTTAATTGACAAAACAGAGTGGACTGATTTGTAAATCTCATGAACCAAACTTTTACAAACTGCTAAGTGTAAAATTCTATTAAAATGAGCAGTTATTAAAAGAAAGGATCACAGATTCTGAAAAGTAAACGGTACTAAAACAAAAAAAAGCTAGAGTAAAAATTGGCAATTTATAAAGTTCACAGGGCTCTGGTTTACAAGCGCACTGGATAAAAAAGGGCACCTTCAAGAGGCAGACTCTCTAAAAAAAGATGGGAAGAGGTTCAGAAGTCTGCCAGAAAGCATGTTTACATATATATGTGCAAAGGCATGCCCAATGGAGCCATCTCAAAATATTTTTCCTCAGTATAAAATCATTTAAAAAATGAATATTTCATAATCTCCAGCACATTGCTCTATCTAAGAAAATCTGGACACATCTCTCTGTATACAGGGGGAGCAGCTGAAAATCATAATTGGAAGCCACTGATCTTCAGCCCTCAGGTAGCACTGTATGTATAAATAGGCCTGCTACTGGCATGGAAATCCCTGCATGGGCTCTGAGAAAAATTTTCCAAACTGCGCCGCCCATCTATAAATACAGGTTAAAGCGCCGTCATGCAAAACAGTTTGTTGGCAAGATTTGGAAATGCTGTTTTTTCTGGGCCAAAAGTCTGCCAAAGGCACTCAAGTAAAGTGGAAAACCGTCCAGCGATCAGATTGAATTGAACTTGAATTCTTTCAGGAATTTATCAATGTTACATCATCTGGACTACAGAGGAGAGGGACATTCTGGCCTGTTAAAAAGGCTCGGTTTCTGATTGTATGGGGGCATATTAATGCCTCTGAAACTCAGAGCCACCTAAGCTTTTTTGTGCACATTGGTTGATAACATTTGCGAATCACTTTATTCTCATTTTTTACACATCATCCCAACTCCTTTAGTACATAAGTAGTATGAAAGGTGAAAGAAAAAAACACACAACCATACTCTCTCACCAATGCACTTTAAGTTTGGAGACTTATGCTGGAGAGTGATTCTCATCAGCATCATTCTTTACTTTGAGTGTGCACGACTGCGTGTGCGTGAAATGTTTGTGCTACACTGTCCGAGAGATTGAAGCTCTGTGGTCCTGGCTTAGTAGCTAATCATTGGGCTTAACCTTCCCTGTGCTCGTGGCCTCTTCTGCATTGACCCAATTCCCAGGACTTAAGTTACCAACAGTCCTTTGTGAAACCACATGCATCTCCAAGCTCTCTGACACATCTTACACATCGTTTTGATCCGGCATTGACCCCACATAGTAAAGGTGGCATACACACACATGCAGACCTATATGTGTGTGTGTACAGGTCTCATATAGCCTAATGAGATGGGACCAAACACGATAACCTGGATCACGCAAGTCTTGTGCCGCAGTAGCTTGTCTTTGAGTGTGTACTAGTATTAAGAATTAGTGTGACTTTGGGATTCCTGGGTTGCTCCTTCTGCTCTCCCCATATGACTATGCTAATCCCTCTGCCTGCCATTCTGTGTAACACATAGACACCTGGCGAATGTGTTCTGACGAATGGGAGAGATATTCTTGCAGCAGTAATTCTAGCCGAATTTTAATGCTTTTTTTACTCAAAACAATTTATCACTATTTTCATAGTAAAATATTGCTGCTGGTGTGGCACACACTTGACAGAGTCCATCAGTCTGTGGTTTGGTTGGTGAAAGGTTGATATTTTTTATACCAGTTGAGTGATGACGGTTTCGACAGCCACACAGTCAAAAACAGTAACAGCAAGGGAATCCCACCAGAGAATCCAACCGTTAAACAGCTGGGGTTTTAAAACATATTACACAGAGGAAATCTGAGAAAAGAAATTCAAAGGCTGGTATATTTATCTAACGAGAATCTAAATGGCTTCATGACTGATGGCTGAGAAGATTGGCAAATGAAACATGGTTACGCCAAAGTCATAGTGTCCATAATGGTCCAGAGCAGCCATCCTGGCCATAGCTTAGTAATGCATTACTGCTAGAAAATCTGCCTCAATGCCACAAACAATGGAGATTCAGATGGTCTGATGATAAAAGAGTATTTCTGGCACTTTAGAATGGATCCGCTTCTGTATCAACGTATACATCTAATGATAATCAGTTTACTTAAGATCTACTGAAACATTGAGGATTAGAAAAAAAATTTTTAACTCAGGTATATTTCCTTTAATCTTCTTGAGTAAAAGGAGAGTATGAACAATTCCCACAACTTCATCCACTGAAAGGAGGAGTCTATTTTTTCTGTTTTATCACAGTGTGGGATGAAGTTCTGCATGAAGAACTCACACTTCTACCTCACTGTAATTTCTACCTCGCATTAGTCAGATGCAGAAGGTGCATTTGCTGTAAAAGAATATCCATCTTCAAATTCCTCATTGTATAAGGTCACTCATTTTTCTGCATCTCAAGAAGCATTTCCATCCTGGCCGGCGTCATTATCTCACTATGGCCACGCTTGTTGCCGTGTATTGAGTCATTTCTTCATCTTGCCTCAGTGGAGAAAAATGTTATTACGCAACTGTGCTATGAGCATCCCAGACAGACAGACGGACACACAGACAGACAGACAGGACCATGACATACCCCATCCATCCAGCACATGCACGTTTTGATACAGTCTGAATCTCTGCGCAATTCTCAACCCCACTTTTCAAAGCTTTACTCACAGGATTTGCTGCCATAACTCTTCTCTTCTCTCCAAAGCTCTGCAATCCACACACACACACACACACACACACATACACACAACTGACAGGCAGTGCTGACAGGAAGTTGAGTCACACACACGCATAGAGGATCTAAATGATTCACAACTCCCTTCTGCGAGTCTCCTCTCCAGTTAAGGCACCACAAACAAACAGAGCATCAGACGCGGAGGAGGCGACACCGAGAAGCACGGAACCAGATGGAGGATTAACGGTGGCATTTGCCTCAGAAATCGGCCTGGATGCGTCACCGCGGCGTCATTATTAATGTAAAGACTGATGTTGACGTACATGCAATCCTCGACTCTTGTCAGGAAAGGGTGGCGGAGGGGAGGGCTTGCCGTCGGTCCGCAACGCCATTACAGACCACCCCACTCGGGTTGATTCATTCATAAATACCGGAGGATCGCCATCTCGCAGCGGTGCATCATTTTGCGATTGCAGCGAACCTCCCCCCCGCCCCCCCCCCACACACACACACACACAAACACACACACACAAATAAACACACGCACACAAACACTCTCCTGCTGACTGCCAATATGGCTGTGCGGGCATATAGGAAACGGTACACAATTCATTCGCACGACAGTGATGGTGGAAAAAAAATCTGTCTGCGCTCGCAAATTTAGAAAACAGCAACACGGACAGAGGAGAGTAAGATTTGGCCGTCCCGCGTCGGCCGTGTGGAGCAGAATTCTTCCGCACACATTAGCAAACCTACAGGCAAGAAGGACCGCGGCAACCCGACCGAATGCCAACATCTCCACTCCGCGGAAGCAGAACGCATACCTGGTCCTCAAGCGCGGCTCCGCCCGGGCTCCTCCTGGGTTCCGAAGGATGAGACACAAACGCCGAAAGCGCCTTGAGAAATTTTGCGCGGTTCACGTAGAGCTCATGTCGTCCGATTTCCAACACCACCACGGCAGACACACACACGCACACACACACGCGCAAAGTCTCCGTCTCTCTGCCCCTCTCTCCCTCTCCTCCTCGCAGATAGGACGTGGGAGGTGCCATACCCTCTCCCTTCTCTGTCAACACTTGCTTTTCTTTTAGTTCATACACTTCCTGGTGGTTAGATTCCCAACCCATGAAACTGTTTTTTTTTTTGTTTGGTTTTTTACAATGGGTACAGTGTGAGATAACTGTCCAAATATGTTTATTTATAGAATAAAAATGATCATGCTGGCAAGCAAAAAGAGAAGTCGAAATATATATAAATATGTTAGAAGGGATATTAATGCATTCAGTTCAAATGGAGGTTAAATATAATTGGCATTAAAGTTTTCCAGTTGACTGAATGAATTGTTGTCAACAATCTAATCTGGGCGGAATCCCATGTAATCTCCAAATAATTTACTCAATGGCAGTCATGTAAACGTTTCAGCCACTGCTGAGGATTCAGTAGCATTCAGACATCCCCAGGCAGACAGTTTCATTTGACCTTTCAGAACAGAGTTTAAGTAAAGCAAATCCTGGACGGAAACTTTCCAAGCAAACTAAAAGATCAGTGGATTTATGGGGCTTTTTGCTGACATTCGTGGGGTGATATGAATGGAGCATCAGAGCACAGAGACACCTGAACGTGTGTCCGTGTCTGACTCAATATTATCAAGCTTCTTGATTTGGTTGTGGAGGTAGAATCAAATGTGTTCTACTTCGTCTCTACTGGCAGAAACAGAAAACAGTCACGTATTGACTGGTCCCGGATCAGCACAACGGACAGCGACCCAATGAGGTTCCAGCACCATGGAGAGCGACAGTCAGTGGCTTAAGAGTCCAATGTGTATTTTAGTACGGCAACACAAAATATGGTAGAAAGGAGGAAAAATACATGAATGACGTGATTGAAAAAGGGCAGTAAACCGCTTCGTGCTACGTTGTTCTAACTGTGTACTACGCCCCCTAAATGCATCCTCAGCTCGTCATGTGCGTCGACATTACCGTCATTTCCTGTAATATCACAGATAAACCTGAAGTCGCCTCTCCACGGGGCTAAAACAGGCCCACAGCCAACTCAGACCAGGCCTCGTCCTGAGTTCTATTGCCTGTACGTGACGGTCTCATTGTATGACTCACCAACTCTCCGGGCTGACCGCTTTGTGTTTGTCTCCCTCTGTTGGCCGGTCCAATGACGGTAATAAATCACAGGGTACGGTTGATTTATGTTTGATCGTTTGTTTTTCAGCGATTATTTGGAGGTAATTACATGAAAACCAACCACATAAGCAAGTATAGGCAGGAAAACGTTTTGAGCAAAAACGCAGAAGTAAAATCACTCCCGAAATGGAACAATGTGGGATTTACATAATATAATAAAATACATTTCCCCACTTTATACAGTGGGAATATGTATAAAGATGCAGGAAACAGATGTTGACACTTGATAAAACATAAGTATAAAACTAAACAAAAAGCTTTAATCTGGTAATAAGTGCAAAGATCAAGTCGCAGCTGCCTCTAAGACAAAAAAAACATTTTTAGGTGCCATTAAAAAAAAAAAAAGAAAAAATGAGGTGGCTGAAAATGACATGCTTTGATCCCTTCTCGTCAGCTTTACGTCCCCTGTCAGAAACCATTGCAGGGCTAACACTCAATAAGAGGGCTTGGATCAAACCACACAGCCACACGATGCAATAATTGGTTTTTGGGTCTCATTTCAAATGAATCAATAACCCATTGGCTGTCAGTGGCTGAGTCTACACAGCTTCACAGGAAGCATTTTCAGATGGGCACCCTCCTCTCCCTTTGGTGCAGTGTGGCCAGCACACAGGATTCATCCACCATTTCCCGTGCATTACATCCAGCGAACAAACACAAAGAGCCTCCCATTCAAAGCCCCTCGAGCGTGAACACAGAGCCAAACACATATTAAGGCGTGGGTGGTTAGGCTGACTGAATGATGGCAAATGTACTTGAAGCTGACATATCAAAAGATCAAGAGAATATGTAGGGATAGAGACAGACATGGTGCATATTTTTTATTTTTCCTTGCATTCCAAATCTGAACATCTACATTAGAAAAAAAAGTTATTTCATGAGAAAAAAAACAACATTAGTTTGACCATTTGTATGTTTAATAAAATACCACCCCCCCAAAAAAAATCCTTTGTTTTTGTTTTATGCTTTGATAAAAAGAACTACCGAACATCCAAATCTGCAGGTCGGGAATTTATAAAAATTGTTATCCCCAATAACCATGGCCATAACCACAGATTCACAAACCTCTGGAGCATGAACTGTAATTTGGACCAGATTTCCCCAAACTGTGAGGTGCAGAGGTTGAAGAAGCAGAAAGAAGCGGGAAATTTCAAAGTCAGACACAAACGCAAGATCTCCAGTTCACCAGGCTTCCAGTTTTATTGTTTTATCAAGATGAGATCATAAATTAAGACAAAAGACAGAAGTTGCCCAGTTACTGTTACAGATCAACAACGTTCCCGGTGGCTCAAGTCTCAGCATTTTGACAGGTACGTGTAAGACTAAGGCTTGTAAGAGCAGGAAGCCAGTGCTGATTTAGAGGTCCAGTTCTGATTGAGAATAGAAAAAAAGGCTGTTTATTAACCAGTCTGTCTGTTTCAGGGCGGACTGGTTTGGTAAAGATCAAAAGCGCTGATATGGCCCATTTCTAATGCTATGATTAATTCAAAACTGAAGGGATTATTTAATTACGCTACCAATGCATCGGAAACTTGCAGGTAAACATTTGAACCCCCCGCCCCCCCCCAAACAAAACATCATGTTTTCCCCTTGTTGTTAGTCACACTCCAACAGGGAAAATAAGATTACAAATAAAGGTCACAGTTTTGTTGATCGTCTTCGCAGTACAGATGGCATCAACCTTGTGTGGCCGTAAAAACCTTTTATTTATTCATGAGAGCAAAGCTGCAGTTCACCACATGACGTGCAAATTGGTCAACATCATCCGTCATGACGGGAAGGATAGAAAAGAGGTGAAGCAATCGACACGCATACGCCCAGACACTCACTCGAACACACCAACCTTTCCACACTTCTCACTGGTTCTTGTCATGGTTGAGGACCTGGTTAACAGCTGGTAGGATAAACAGAGAAGCAAAAACACTGTTTTACTGAAAGGTGAAGAACTGTAAAAGACTGCTAATCCGTTGCATCACCATGCATTTAAAAAAAGGTGGATATACTTGCATTTGTACAATTGTTGACTCACCCTCCTTTGTGATGGTTTCAGATAAGTTCTTAGCCTTGGTGGTCAGATCACTGACCACAGTGTCCATGGCAGCTTGATGTTTCAAGAAGAAGGGCCGGATCACACGCTTGTACAAAATGTCAGAGCCGTTCCATGTCACGGGAGCCATACACCAAATCAGGAACAGACACTGTGGAGAGAGAAGATGTCACGGCTCAGAAATCTTTTTTCCAGACATCTGTTTGACAGTTGGTTGGAAAAAAAGGGAAAAAATGGATACTGGCATGGATTTTAGGGATCGTGGATGATCATCCTTATCTGTCTCTGAAATGTTTTTCCATAACTCTTTCACAGTAGAGTAACCATTACAATGTTTGTTTATGGTTGTCAATGGCACAGGAACATAAGTTCCAAACATATAATGTTCTTACAGGTTTATAGTTTGAGTAATCTGGAAACAAGTCAAACATGAACAGATATTCTTTACATATAGCTTTTTCAGGAGGTCCTATCATGTTTCTGTTAAAAATAATATTTGCTGGCAAAGACACTACTTAAAGGCAAATATACACATCATTTATCTATTTTCTAAGTCAACATAACATTCTTATTTTGCATTTACACTATATGTCCACAAGGGAGCAGCATGGGGGGGTGAAAGGACAGATTACAAACATGGGGGTGACCATCTCCACACAGATTAGAGTTTAGCAGTGTGATTATGCCAAATACTGACCAGAAAACCATCCATAGTGAGAGCCTACCTTGCCAGCATAGTAAAATGGGAACCAGGAGAGGAAGATGTCAGAAAAGGCCTCGACGATGCTGAAGAGTCCGTAAACCACCCAGTAGGTCAGCCACTGTGTGTCATCTTCCTTGTTGTTGCTCTCAATGGCCTTGATGCTGAGGGACAGAAGAACAGTTTGACTTAGCAGGAAGATGCATCACAACTTTTTTTTTTCCACTGAGACATGGCTGAAGGAACAACTCCAACACCTCAGTACTTGGCTTTAAGACTACATAGACAGACAGAGGAGGGACTACAGCTCCTGTTGATGACGCATGTTATGTTGGTGAAAAGCAGTGTCTCTGAACCCCAGGTGTCTTTGAGTTCCTGTCCACACGGAGAGGTCACCAGAGTTACATCTGCGTGTGTGTGTGTGTGTGTGTGTGTGTGTGTGTGTGTGTGTGTGTGTACTTGTCACTGTCACCAGTGTTCGCTGAGGATTTCTCCCACACCTCTCTCTGCTTCACAGCAACTTTCAACATAACAGTCAGCTGATTTCTGTTCCACCCATCTACTGATACATCTGTCCAAATGACATTTTTTGGACTATTATGTAAAGCAGCACATTTATTTAAAGGTAAGAAAAATAGTCCAAACGTGGATCAGCCTTTATGAGATGCATAGTGTGATTCAGTGATCTGAATTACAACACCAGAGAGGATCTCTCTGTAGTGCCTAATGTCAGCAGGTTTAAATAGTGGAGGAGATATTGGCCTCACAAATCAGAGTGGTGGATTACATAATTCCTGTCGAGAGTAAAATTGCATTCTAAAGTTGATCTACTCAACCCGACTGAGTGTTCGCACTGTTCCTCAGCTCACGAAAGGTTACTCAAACTATTTTTATGACCAATTCATGCTTAAGTGAGTGCAACACTTCAGTCTGATTGTTAGGAGCAAGCAGCACAATTTTTTTTCAATGTTCAAAATGGGGGCGTGTCATGATTGACTGAAAAAAAGCATTTTCAACACTGTTTCTGTCTCACTTCTCAGTTTGTGCTCCTACTTTTTCATGTACAGATAATTTTGCAAGCAACTGCTGGCAAGATTAGACAAAGCTATAGGTTCATGTTTAACATCTAATTAAATTAATTTAGTTAATCTTTTTATATTAAATCCATGACTTTAGTTATACATTGGATCAACACAGCACTGACATGGACACATGGGTATTAAGACAAGAGAATCCACAACTAATAGCAGCAGAAAATATGCATAATGTTTTGTTGAATCTGTCAACAAAACATTCATGAGACTGATCTTGACAGTTTACATAAAGAAGTGCATGCCCCAGGTTAGATGTCAGAAATCCATTAAATGTAAATAATGTAGGGAAAGATTTTTTTTTTTTATTGTACAGATTTAATTAATTTCTTATTTGTATATGTTTTTTCCTTAGTGTGAAACGGCATGATTCCATTTATCTGTCACTCCGTTGTTTGTACATCTGAATATTCTCAATAAAGGACAGTAAAAGACTATTCTTTTTTGGTCACCTAGTATCAAAGGTTACATCTAATCAATAGCATATAATAATTAATGATTGCTGCATTCCATTCAGTAGTGGCAATAAAAAAAAACTAGCTGGCTGGATAGTAACACGATTCCATTCTTACATTCAAACAAGTGTACTTAGAATACTGGATTAGTTTAAAACACACATTACAAATTGGTGCTTGTTAGTGAATGTTGCATGAAAACTGTCTTAAAATAAGAAAAAATAATTAAACTGAGTTTTTGCCTTTTGACAATGGGAACTGAAGTAAATCTGCTGTCATACATACGAGAAATAGGCTGGATAGAGGAAGCCGATCAGGTTGCAGAGTAGGGCGGCCCCGTAACCAAACAGAAGGTACAGCGCGACAAAACCAAGAACACCTGCAGGGGATGAAAGATGAGAGGCGCCAGTGAGGCGAGAGTAAATGGTGGGGCAACGGTGGGGAGGGTGAGGCTGTTTGGTTGCTATACAAACAATTATGACATGTCGGATGAAAGGATGTCAGGAGAGCTCAGCACCACCACTAAACTGAAGACAAGCACAGATGTTTACATCTAGTCAGAGCTCTTCTCCGACACTTTAACACTTTTGTCTTCACAGTATCTCAGACTACACGCCTTAAAGGGATGAACATGTCAATAAGTGTGAGGGATCCATTAACAGCACTATCTGAAAATAAATATTGTATTTACTTTTTTTTTTTAGCAGATGTACAAAAATTAGATTCTTCTGAGATTTTTTAAAAGAATAAATGTAACTAATGAATAGACTGGGCTGCAAATGAATGAGCTATTTTGTTCTCATTTGGGAAAAGTGTATTTTCTGTGCTTTTCTGTGTCAACTGCTTTGGGATCTGCATCATGACGGTTAAAGCTTCTGAAAAAAAAAGCGTACCGTAAGCAAAGCACCTGGGAAAACCTGTCTAACAATCCAACAGCTGAACATGTGGGGAAAATCTATGCAAAACTCAGTTAATACAAAATTCAAATTCATCAATAGCAATAAACATTAAATACAATAAAAACTTTTAACAGCATTGGAACCACTGTCGGCTCTTTACATCTCATTTGCTTCATACAGCTGACACACAAATACGGAGGCGATTTTGTATATGCCCAACTCTTGCCAATAAAGATGGAACTGGAGGAACAGGTTAATGATGAGGACCCCAGCACATTTACATTGCGGTTGAAGATCCAACAAAGACTGCAATGTGCTGAGCATCAATTTGCATTAGGTCTCATAGACAAACGCGTTAAGCTGTGGATGGCAAATACAAAGTTGACTATATAATCTTATACACGATTTGAGACAACCTGAGCCATGCTAAGTTTCATGTGGGAAAACAGTGTGCAGAGTTGTAATTTATGACTAACGCGCACAATACAGAGCTGTGAGTTTAGCTGAAAAATCCTCCGCTGAACATCAAATTAGTCTGGGTAAAGAAAGTGAGGGGGTAGAAGTCAGCTTTACAGCAGGATTCCAACAATTGAACGTGTTAAAAGAGTTCGCATGAACTCCAGACTCTGGTTTGTAACCCTGTAGAAGCCTCCTTACAAGATCAATAGACATTAACCAGACATTCCTTCAAGCAGGACAGGGCACAATGTGGCTCTGGCTCAAACTTCTACTAAACACAGGTTAGAGATGACTCAGGTAGTGTTTGCTTACAATCTAGTGTTTGTTTTGTAAGCTGGTTTGGTGAACCGGATCTGCTTCACCCCCACATTCTGAACATGTTGGATAACATGTGGATGGGGGTAACAACATCCCAGGAATGATTCAACAATACCTGCTGATTGGCATGCGTTAATATTCAGTAGATCGAGACCAATGAACCACAGATACATTTCCACCAGTATCAAATATGTCAACTGAGAAGAAGCAGGAAAGGATACAAAAGAATGATTAAATGACTGTGTTATTTTCACCCTTAATTTTAATCCTTTTTTTTAATGTATAGCTTTTAGATGAAATTTAGAAAAAAATGTTTGCTTTCCAGCTACTCAGTTTGACAAAAATAGGACTATGAATTCCTAAATTTAACTCAATTTAATGCTGTGTTGCAAGATGTGAAATCATAGCAAGTGATTTATAGTTGGACCTATACTGGACTTCGTTCACTAAGGACAAATATTAACTACTGGTAGTCCTAAAATATAAATAATTCAACACGTAGAGCTTTATCACGTTGCCATTTTACTCATGGGGTGGCACTGCCTAATACTGACCCCTCAAAAACCAAGGATCACTTTGGCTTCAGTGTTTCAGTAATCTCTTCTCAGACTCAAGGGGCCATTAATGCACTCAGAAAATGTCCTTTTTCTTTGAAAATTCAACAACCGCTCGCCTATTTTAGAGATCACAGGTGTATTGGTGGAGATCAAAAGGGGTACAGAGAAAACTGTGCGGGTTTGTTAGATGAACTCTTCCCGTAATTTAACTGAAAAGTTGTTTTCTTTCATACTTTTGCAGTTATCTTGCATACGCAAGCGATACATCTAGGGAAGATGAGTACATTTTAACAACAGGCACACATAGTACAGAGCAGCTCCCACTATGTAACAACAAGCCAATTGTTATTAAACTGCTGCAGAAGGTAGCGTTAGCTGTGCAACTCCGCCTCATTTTGCCACTTGGTTACCTGCAAAATAAGCCAAACAAGAAGAACCCTGCACACTGAACACATTTAAAACAAATTAAAGTTATGGCAACAGTCTTAATTTAAATGCATTCTGGCACAGATGCACACTAATGTCTGTGCTAACTGAAGGCCAAAAGTTCTCCAACATCCACTCTAACTGGGTATATAAAAGCATGGCGGTGCCCTGCAGCTCACACCCATGTGATCTGATGGAATTTGAATAAAGATTGTGGCTTTGCATGTAGGTCACCCTGGGTAACATGCTTCCTGTAGCTGAGTGGCACAGCAGACAAACGCTTGTCTTTGTTTTTTTGCCATTTATTGACTTATACTGTGCAAATTGACACAATTGAGCCCTGTTAAAACACAGCTCCCAAAAAGCTACTGGGTGGAGCAGCTTCTGGCTCAATGACCAGTAGTTCTTGTGTCTTCTTCCATTTCTACCATGCAGTGGACATTTCAGGAGGGATAAAAATACCCCAGGCACCAGCTGCTGGACGGGATTGGAAGCAGTTCGTTGCTATTTGGAAATAGCCGTGTTGAAGATTATATACCCCAAGTCTAATCTTGTCATAAAGTATAAAGGTTCAAAATGGTTGAACTTTGGCAGTCCAGCCCGAGACTGGCAATAAAGTTAGCCAGTCAGCAGCGACACGGGATATGAAACCAGACTCAAAAGTCATGCAACAGTTACCGCAACAGTGTGCCCAAATTATCAGCTGAACAAGATAACGTGGGCCCTTACACGAAGCTTTAAAAGGACATTTATTTATACACCTTCAAGTACATTTTGGAAACCAAAAGTCTTTCGTTTATTAGAGGCCAACATACCCAAGACGGTAAACTCTCTCTTCACTCCCGTTTTTTGTTCCAGCGCTGCCAACTGGTCTGTCACAAAGTTCTTTTCGTGGAGCACACTCACGAAGCGCTCTTTCAGCTGACTCATTTTCGAGCCTTCTCTACCCTGCGAATGGAACAAAAACCGCAAAAACGTTACCCGAGGCGACACTTGACGGAGTCACAGCATAGCAAAGGCTACTTTACAAACCTTGGTGAAAGAATTTGCCCGTAAAACTTACCCCTGAGTGGCTATGAGGCTGATGGCTGCTCCGCCGGGCTGCGGTGGCAGTGGGGGAGGAGCTTGAGGCCGCCCGTTGACCAATCACAAAGCTCCGCTGGGTAACGTTCGCTGTTATAGCGGTTGGAGATATCAAACGGTTACTTTTTGCTGGGTACTGAGGAGGAGAATGGAAAATCACGATGAGCTTCTGTTCGCAAACAGAAGCCTATCAGGTTTTTGTTTTGACTTATTTAGCAATAAGTCCAATGACTGACTGATGTGTTCGTGTTGCTATGATGTGCATAATTGCAAGTATCTTTAAATGCATAAGACACAATGACAAGAAAACACAGGCAGGCCTGACACATATCTAACAATACAGTAGCATTTCACTATCTGAAGAAAGCTAGGGTATTTTTGCCGTAGTTTTTTATGGCAAAGAAAGTTGCAGCTAAAAATATGTTGTAATTTATTGTAGTTATGAATATCTTCTAGCAGTGTCCACAAAGTTAACGTTGAATTTACCAAAATTAACTAGGAATAGTATACACATTCAGAAAAAACAAGAAATTAGTCTCCAGTCATCAGGAAATGTGGGTTCTATTGAGCCATAAACAGCTCCTTCTGTCAGGGTTACAGCACATTAAGATGGTCTTGCATCTGATTTACAAGGAAACTTTGAGACAGAACATGTTTTGACCACATTGCTGCTTTAAATAAAACCCGCTTTGAACACTGGTAATCCAATCTTGCCTGGGGAATTTTCAACAGGCAAGAAAATAGTTAAAAATATTTAACTGTTTGCTGTTTCTCTTCCTCACTGAATTGCATGCAACTGGTTTGCCTAAAGTTGCATGCATATTGTGCTTGTTGCATGCTTTTGGCATAATCCAACCGGTATCATTTAGGGGAATTCACCTGACTGGCTTGAGGCTCTAAATTTATCACAAACTTTGTTAACTTATGCAAATCAAACCACCTGAACATCAATATCACATAAACACCAGAAAAGTTATGCAGGAGGGCCACGCTTGTAGGGTTTAGACTTGGAGACCGGAAAAAAGGGCAGAAACCTTGGGTTACATGTGTGCCTATTAACAAAAATTTTGTATAGCTTTTAAAATAATTAGTCTTATCTTATCTTATGTCCATTAGTGCTATGCCTAGACTGTCAGCAGAGGGCAGTCTGCACCTATGTATGACAGTAAAGACATCCAGGGAATTATTTCATTAAATGACAGAAACATTTGTAAAGAAGCTCCTCTATTTTGTCTATATGATGTTGCGGTTTTGCATCATCTTATTCTCAATCACATTGAAAGGTGTGATTTGAACTTCTTTTCTTTTCTCTTTCTTTTTTTGCATGATGGTTATGATCACAGTTTTTTAGTGTGGGCCAAATAATCTATACTATTTTCAAACTGAAATCTGTTTCCAACAATTTTGGTTTTTACATTGGGTTATCTGAGCCTGGATTATATGTTTTCATTCATTTTGCATTACTATCTGTTCATGCTCATGTAAATGTATCCTAAATTATATTTCTATCTGAAACTTATATGATGTTATCTATCTTTTAGTGTTAGAGTGAGTTCGAGCATCGGTGGGACAGGGTTGAAGCGCTATTTAAGGTTCGAGGGACAGGGCCACTCAGAGTGGGCCGTCCCCTCGTCCATCCCTGGATATTTACTGTGACTTCTCTGTATCAACTGAGATTATGAATTCTTTCAATTTGAATAACTTGTCTAGAGCTGGAAAAGAAAAAGGATCTTATTAGTAATAGAGTAAATTTCAAAATCTTACATGTTATGCTATTTGATCCATAAGAGTGTCATAAGGATACTTAATTAATTATGCTAAAAATGAAACTAGTAGAGCATGAACAAAAAAGTTAGTTAGCCTACAATCTCAAACTAATGAATTACTTCTCTTCAGTCAACATCACAAATGTTTTGAATATGAACTGTTCCTCCTGATTTAGTGTCTCACGTACAGTCATGGCCAAAAGTATTGAGAATGACACAAATATTATATTTACACATGATCTGCTGCCCTCTGGTTTTCATGTGTGTATGTCAGATGTTGTCATCACATACAGAAATACAATCAATGCTTGAATTTTGTCAGAATTCCTAGGTTTTCGTTTTTTCACACGTCTCTTGATGATTGACCATTAGTTTTCAATGGGATTATGATATGGGGAGTTTCCAGGCCATGGACCCAAAATATCTATGTTTTGTTCCTTAAGCCAGTTAGATATCACCTTAGCTTTATGGCAAGGTGCTCCATCATGCTGGAAAAGGCATTGTTCATCACCAAACTGCTCTTGGACGGTTGGGGGAAGTTGCTCTCGGAGGACATTCTGGTACCATTCTTTATTTATGGCTGTGTTTTTAGGTAAGACTGTGAGAGAGCAGACTCCCTTGACTGAGAGGCAACCCCACACATGAATGGTTTCAGGATGCTTTACAGTTGGCATGAGACAAGACTGGTGGTAGCGCTCACCTCGTCTTCTCCGAACAAGCCGTTTTCCAGATGTCCCAAACAACTGGAAAGGGGATTCATCAGAGAAAATGACTTTACCCCAGTCCTCAGCAGTCCACCCCCTGTACCTTTTGCAGAATATCAGTCTGTCCCTGATGTTTTTCATGGAGAGAAGTGGCTTCTTTGCTGCCCTCCTTGAGACCAGGCCTTGCTCCAAGAGTCTCCGCCTCACAGTGCGTGCAGATGCACTCACACCTGCCTGCTGCCATTCCTGAGCTAGCTCTGCACTTCTGCTAGCCAATCCCGCAGATCAAACACTTTTAAGAGACGGTATTGGCACTTGCTGGTCTTTCTTGGGCGCCCTGGAGCCTTATTGGCAACAATGACATTGAAATGTGTTTTGGGGGATAAAGTTCATTTTCTGGGCAAATATTGACTTTGCAATTAATTGCTGTTATGCTGAGCACTCTTTTTAACATTCTGGAGTATATGCAAATTGCCGTTATAAAAACTGAAGCAGTAGACTTTGTAAATATTAACATTTGCATCATTCTCAAAACTTTTGGCCAAGACTGTAGTCCTCTGCGTGTTGAGAGCAGAGAAGTCATTTCCATAGAGAGGAGGCTTTGCATCCTCAGCTGATCCTCCAGAGAACTGAGAAGGTTTATAGTCCTGTGAGTTCAACACTGCAGGACTCAGATCTGTCAGTCAACACAGCAGAAACCACAGCCACCATGACTCTCCTCACCATCCTCATCTGGACGCTGTTCTGCTGCTGTTTTACAGGTTCATTCCCTCAGCAACATTCCCAACATGATGTGCTGCCTTTTTTTTAAATGTCTTTCTGCTGATAGATGACTGTTTTTCTTTTTTCTGCAGGGTGCAGTGGTCAGGTGACTGTGACTCAGCCTCCAGTAGTGACATTTACTCCAGGATCCACTGTCACTCTGAAATGTACGACCAGCC